TAAGGTGGGTGCAGATGCGTGCAGGTGGGTGTAGATGGGTGCAGGTGGGTGTAGGTGGGTACAGGTGGGTGTAGATGGGTGCAGGTGGGTGCAATGGTGCAGGTGGGTGCAGATGGGTGTAGGTGGGTGCAGGTGGGTGTAGGTGGGTGCAGATGGGTGTGCAGATTGCAGATGGGTGTGGGTAAGGTGGGTAGGTGCAGATGGGTGCAGGTAGGTGTAAATGGGTACAGGTGGGTGTAGGTAGGTGCAGGTGGGTGCAGGTGGGTGTAGATGGGTGCAGGTGGGTGTAGGTGGGTGAGATGGGTACCAGGTGGGTGTAGGTGGGTGCGGGTGGGGTAGATGGGTGCAGGTGGGTGTAGGTGGGTGCAGGTGGGTGCAGGTGGGTGTAGATGGGTGCAGGTGGGTGTAGGTGGGTGAGATGGGTGCAGGTGGGTGTAGATGGTGCAGGTGGGTGTAGGTGGGTGAGTGCAGGTGGGTGTAGATGGGTGCAGGTGGGTGTAGATGGGTGCAGGTGGGGTGCAGGTGGGTGCAGATGGGTGCAGGTGGGGTGCAGATAGGTGCAGGTGGTGGCAGGTGGGTGCAGATGGGTGCAGGTGGGTGTGGAGATGGGTGCAGGTGGGTGTAGGTGGAGTGCAGGTGGGTGTAGATGGGTACAGGTGGGTGCAGATGGGTGTGGGTGGGTGCAGATGGGTGCAGGTGGTAGATGGGTGTACAGGGTGCAGATGGGTGGGTGGGTGCAGGTGGGTGTAGGTGAGTGCAGGTGGGTGCAGGTGGGTGCAGGTGGGTGTAGGTGGGTGCAGATGGGTGCAGGTGGGTGCAGATGGGTGCAGGTGGGTGGAGAAGGTGCAGGTAGGTACAGATGGGTGCAGGTAGGTGCAGATGGGTGCAAGGTGGGTGTAGGTAGGTGCAGGTGGGGTGCAAGATGGGTGTAGGTGGGTGCAGATGGGTGTAGGTGGGTGCAGATGGAGTGCAGGTGGGTGCAGGTGGGTGTAGATGGGTGCAGATGGGTGTAGGTGGGTGCAGATGGGTGTGGGTGGGTGCAGATGGGTGCAGGTGGGTGGAGATGGGTGCAGATGAAAGTGTAGGTGGGTGCAGATGGGTGCAGGTGGGTGCAGATGGGTGCAGGTAGGTGTAGATGGGTACAGGTGGGTGAGATGGTGCAGGTGGGTGCAGATAGGTGCAGGTGGGTGTAGAGTGGGGTGGAGGCAGGGTGCAGGTGGTACAGATAGGTGAAGGTGGGGTGCAGGGTGTAAGAGTGGTACAGATGGGTGCAGGTGCAGGTGGAACAGGTGGTGCAGGTGGGTGCAGATGGGTGTAGGTGGGTACAGATGGGTGTAGATAGGTGCAGATGGGTGCAGGTGGGTGCAGGTGGGTACAGATGGGTGTAGGTGGGTGCAGGTGGGTGTGCAGGTGGGTGCAGGTGGGTGCAGGTGGGTGCAGATGGGTGTAGATGGGTGCAGATGGGTGCAGGTGGGTGCAGATGGTGTGGGGTGGGTGCAGATGGGTGCAGGTGGTGCAGATGGGTGCATGGGTGGGTAGGTGCAGGTGGGTGCAGAGTAGGTACGGATGGGTGCAGAGTAGGTGTAGAGGATGGGTGCAGGTAGGTGCAGATGGGTGCAGGTGGTATGGAAGGGTGCAGGTGGGTGCAGGTGGGTGCAGGTGGGTGTAGATGGGTGTAGGTGGGTGCAGATGGGTGTAGGTGGTACAGAGGGTGCAAGGAGGGTGCATGGGTGCAAGGTGGGTGCAGGTGGGTGCAGATGGGTGTAGGTGGGTGCAGATGGGTGCAGGGTGGGTGTGATGGGTGCAGGTGGGTGTAGGTGGGTGCAGGTGGGTGTGGGTGTAGATGGGTGCAGGTGGGTGTAGATGGGTGCAGGTGGGTGTAGAGTGGGTGGCAAATGGGTGCAGGTGGGTACAGGAGGGTGTAGGTGGGTGCAGATGGGCAGGTGGGTGCGGAGATGGGTGGGTGGTGTAGATGGGTGCAGGTGGGTGTAGGTGGGTGCAGATGGGTGCAGGTGGGTGCAGATGGGTGCAGGTGGGTGTAGATGGGTGCAGGGTGGGTGTAGATGGGTGCAGGTGGGTGTAGGTGGGTGCAGATGGGTGCAGGTGGGTGCAGATGGGTGCAGGTGGGTGCAGATGGGTGCAGGTGGGTGTAGATGGGTGCAGGTGGGTGCAGATGGGTGTAGGTGGGTGCAGATGGGTGTAGGTGGGTGCAGGTGGGTGTAGGTAGGTGCAGAGTGGGTGGCAGGTGATTGCAGGTGGTGTAGATGGGTGCAGGTGGGTGTAGGTGGGTGCAGATGGGTGCAGGTGGGTGCAGATGGGTGCAGGTGGGTGTAGATGGGTGCAGGTGGGTGTGGTGGGTGCAGATGGGTGCAGGTGGGTGCAGGTGGGTGTAGATGGGTGCAGGTGGGTGTGGGTGGGTGTAGATGGGTGCAGGTGGGTGTAGATGGGTGCAGATGGGTGTAGGTGGGTGCAGATGGGTGTGGGAGTGGGTGCAGTGGTGCAGGATGGGTGCAGGTAGGTGGGGTGGGTGCAGATGGGTGTAGGTAGGTGGATGGGTGTAAGTGGGTGGTAATGGGGTGCAGGTAGGTGGCAGATGGGGGTATTGAGTAGGTGTAGGTGAGTGCAGATGGGTGCAGGTGGGTGCAGATGGGTGCAGGTGGGTGTAGATGGGTGCAGGTGGGTGTAGGTGGGTGCAGATGGGTGCAGGTGGGTGCAGAATGGGTGCAGGTGGGTGTAGATGGGTGCAGGGTGGGTGTAGATGGGTGCAGGTGGGTGTGGGTAAGGTGCAGGTGGGTGTGGGAGTGGGTGCAGATGGGTGCAGGTGGGTGCAGATGGGTGCAGGTGGGTGTAGATGGGTGCAGGTAAGGTGTAGATGGGTGCAGGTGGGTGTAGATGGGTGCAGGCGGGTGCAGATAGGTGCAGATGGGTGCAGGTGGGTGCAGATAGGTGCAGGTAGGTGCAGATGGGAGGTGCAGGTGGGTGTAGATAGGTGCAGGTGGGTG